ATTTCATTAAATGTCCACGTTTATTATAGTAAATACACGTTCAAATATATTTTAGGGAAAATTTTATTCATTTTATTATGAATCAGCATATTTAAATAAAAAGAATTCTTCTTAGAAGTATATATTGATTCCAAATCAAACAAGTGTATGAATACTTTTAACCTTGACTATGTACAAATGAAACATTACAAATTAGTTCACTTGAATTAAAAGATATTAATTTTCTGGTCATTGCTAGTAAAATATAATACCTCAATTGTAAAAAATTTACTTTCTCAATCATTAAGAGTAAAATAAGTTATTCAATAGAAAATTAACTTTATCAGTTACTGGAAATATTCCTCATGAAATTTTAAATCTCCACTTCTGTATATTATTCTTCTGTATATTCTGTAATTATTCCACTTCTGTATACAAATCAAAATCAATTTAAAAAAGAAATTAGTTTATCAGTCATTGTTAGTAAAATATAATACCTTACTCGGGAAAAATTAACTTTCTCACTTCATAAAATTCTTCATAAAATTTTAAACTGTTTTCAAATCAAAGAAGAGTATAAATGTCCGCCGCCATTGTTAAAAAACAGATACTAACTAATTTTAAGAAAAAATTAATTTTCTCTATCACTGTTAGTAAATTATAATACTTGAATTGAAAAAAATTAAAAGTTTCTCAGTCACTAATAATAAAAAGTAAGTTTTTTTTTTTTTTTTTTTTTTTATTTTTATTTTAAGTTTGTCAATAGAAAGAAACTAACTGTCTCAGTCACAAATAGAAAAATAAAGTACCTTAGTTGAAAAAAAAAAATCTTTCTTAGTCACTAATAGCAAAAGTACTTCAATAATAAGAAAGTAACTTTCTCAGTCACTGACAGCAAAATAAATACCTGAAAATGAGAGCTCTTCCCTTCCCACCTTTGGCAGTCAACATATGAATTCATTATACTTGCATCCGAAAGCGTATTTTACTGGAAAAATATATTTCACTTGAAAGAAAATCGTACTCAAGCTGCAAGTTTTTTTGTACGATTCGTTTTCACCATAGAACTGACTTAAAAATAGTGATGGGCAACTTCGGTACATTCTTGTACTCGGTACGAGAGTAACGGGTACAGAAAAGTACCCAGTACAAAATACCGTTACTCAAGTAACCGTTACTTTGAAAGTACCGAAAACCAATTTCAAGTACCGAGTACCCAAGTAACGATTTGGAGTACCGAAGTGACGAAATACCGGAGTAACGGTTTACTGTACCGGAGTACCCTAGTAACGATTTGGAGTACCGAAGTACCCTAGTAACGATTTGGAGTACCAAAGTACCCTAGTAACGATTTGGAGTACCGAAGTGCCCTAGTAACGATTTGGAGTACCGAAATACGCAGCTATCGATTTTGCGCACTGAAGGAACTCTGCCAAGTCACCACGTGTTTGATTTTATCTGTACAGAGTAAGATTTTGAATATCAGAAAACATGTCAACTACGGAAGTGTCTGAGGAGCAGACCATTCATGGACACAAGGAGCGCATATCACCATTTCGCAAATACAACCAGATACTACTGTCCTCGTACCAAAACCGAAGTGAGCTGAACCCTCATCGATCTTCCAGTAACGAATACTGAAATACCGAGAAGAGGCGCATATTTTCGTTACAAAGTAACGAATACCGAAAAGCACCCGTTTCGGTACAGAAGTAACGAATACCCAAAAGTGTCCGTTTCGGTACAGAAGTAACGAATACCGAAAAGTACCCGTTTCGGTACAGAAGTAACGAATACCGAAAAGTACCGATTTCGGTACTGAAGTAACGGGTACTTGGATGTACCGATTTTCAGTACCCGTTACAACTAAGTACCCGTTACAAAATACCCGGTTCGGTAGTACCGACTCATCACTACTTAAAAACAAAGCACACGGGGGACGAGAGGGAAGGTGAGAGGTAGCGAAGCAGTTACTTTTTCTTTTCTTCCCTACTTCCCCCTTCCCCCTAACCCTTCTCGTTTTTATCTAAATAAACTGTTTTTATGTAAATTATTTTTAATTGATACATTATTTTAACATGTAAGCATTTTACGCTGCATTAAAAAAATCTTAAGAAGTCGCAAAAAGTAGCATAAGGAAATGATGGAGGTCCCAAAAATTTCGCAAAATCGCAAATACTAAAATTTTAGTAGCACAAGTTTGTCAAAAGTCGCATATTTGCAAAAAATGGCACTGTCTGGCAACACTGGACCAGGTACTCCGTTGTTTGCACCACTCGAAAAGCCTGAGGGTTGCTAATACGAATATGTACTGCTCTAGTTAAGCACATAGAGGTAGCGAACTTGCACCTTCCTTAAACGATAGTAAAGGCTTAGAGGTTTTCTTATCCAGTTTTATTATCATTGCTATTATCATTAGTCTTATTATTGAATTTGAGTAGGGACAGTTTCATAAACGCAGAGGAGCAGATAAGAATCTTTCACGTGGGTACCTATTCCTATTTTGCTTTTTAGTAAACATGTTATGTTGTTACCAGTCTCACGTGTCTGACAATGGTCAGTACAAGCCCACAACATGAATTACAAATTAAATTTTTAACAACAAATTAAATTTTTAATGAATATTTAGATATTAATTTAGAAGTCAAACAACAAAAAGGACTTTTTAAGAGAACTGGCTCGTATCCACTTTACAAAAGGGGAAAATCACGAAAACCAACCATGCACCCATCTCATTTGCCGGGATTCCATCCCAGCTCAAACTACCAGTATTCGTTTTCAACGTTTAACAATGTATAATTAATATTCTTCTGAAGTTTTGTTATTTTAGAATCATAATCTGGTAATCGTACCAAAAAGAAAACCTTTAAAGTACAAATAGTTTTCATTTTAATTAATGCATATAATATTTCTAGTTGGCTAAGTGCGCATATTGAAATCTGCCTGAATTATTCAGAACGCGAATTCCATAAGATTCTGTGACATCACCTTTTTGAATAAAATTATATCGATTAATTTTTTTTCACAATCTGCATAAAGCATTTTTTATACAATATTTTATTTTTAGTAGCGGGCAAATACAAACATTTCGGTCTTCAATTTGATACAGCCCTTGAATATGGTTCTCTTTTTTAATTTTTTTTTTATCAAAATCTTTGTCGATTTTTTAGTTGTAAATTTATACGGATGCCGCTCAGACGGGAAAGTGGTTAGTGACTCTGACTGCCGTACCGATGGGCCGGGGCTCGAGTCCCGGAGAAGGTAAGGATCTCTTCATAGGAGACAATGGTGGCCCACCCATTAGGTGCTTCCATAATAAAGCGACCAACACTTCTGGCCTTAGTAGTGGCTAACGGCTAGTGTCAAAGTTAGATTTCATATTTTATGTAAAATTAATTTTTTAGAACGTCTCATGAGCATTTTGTTGATTTAGCATTCAGAACATTTTGCGAGGCTAACTGAATATTACCGTCATATTCTAAATAAAAATAATATACAGGTTTACAACATGCATTATTAAAAATATCATAGAGGTTTTTAATATTGTTAAATAATGCTTTATTGGGTGAAATTGACATTAGAGATCTGCGTTGAAAAATCAATACATGAAATATAAGAAGTATGAGGATGTAAAATTTTAAACAATATTTGCTCAGTTTGGTGAAATTTGCGGTCTTATGGTATAGTTCCTCTCTATACAGGAGTTATCGTAGTATAAACATTACGCTATTGAGGTCTATTTAACGTCCCAGACGAATTGAAGAGCCATCTACCGGTCAATGCAATCGCAAATTACGAAATTCAGAAAACGACCGCGTATTCAATACTAGTAAAGTCGAGATTAAAGTTCCTACAAGCTTTTCAATTGTGGGAATACAATTTTTATTATGGTAGTACAATAACTGAGACAGATCGTTAATAATCATAACATTAGAATAGAATAAACATTATTTTTTCTTTTGTTGCTATGGGCTACCAGAGTGGCCGCGTTGAGTTGTAGTAGGCAAGTCGCCACAATACTATTCTAAATTTCTTTCCAATAGATATCTATTAAACACTCATAATATTAATATTCAGTTTAAATTTAATCGCTAGGTAACAGGGTTTTTCTATTTAAATAAAATGCTGCATTTAATTTTTACTATATGTGTTTCATAGAAATATGTGTGTGTACACATAATGTTACGTTTGTGAATGACTATCTAACGGATATCCAGTAGAGCTTGAACACTCATCTATTATTAAACAAATTTCGCTTTCGTATCCTCATAGCTCTTCATTTCTATCGCTGACGTGAATTTTCACTTAACTTTTTATTCATTTTTAATTAACTGCACGGAAGATTAAGTACTTTTAAAATTATAAAATATTAAAGATTTCACTAAATGATGACGATCAATGACAATAACTACTTTTTCAATATTTGGAATTTACTTTTGGTTTTGGTATTTTTGTGATTTAAGATTTTTCTTATCAGATTTTTAAACAAGGAGTTGAATTTACTATTTAAAATACTAATTTAAATCCTGACCAAAAAATTTTAAAAAAATTTCATTCATGGATTTAGATTGCATTTGTGTTGCTTGGAGATGGTATATGGAAAGTTTATTTCTGAATATGGTCCCTATAACTGTAGAGTACCATATTTTGAATTAATAACTGGCAGACGTATCTAGCATTACAGCATTTATCACATATTGTAAGTTATATAATTTTCCTTCATTCATTTAATTTTCATTTATTAAAAGAGTCAGACAGACAAAGTAGACAGACGTCCTGTTTTGCACTCGCTAAGTCTTTTTGCACCAATTTGCGGTTGTGTTGATTTTTATGCTAATGGTTATGAATATTTTAAGTCATTGTATCCATAATGAAAATTACACTAAATAGAATTATATTTATATAAGAAACACTGGAATTTTCCCAAGTCCGTGCTACCCCTATTTTTCCATTTGCACGTATTTGCCAAATACCTGGAATATAACAGAGGAAGAAGAAAACAACTAAAGCCAACAAAATTTTAAAATGAAATCGTTGAGATGACATCTGTCTAGGTTTTTGATTCTAGACTTTTAATGAGTATAATATTGTTTACTAAACAGTGTAAAGGCTATGAAGGCTCTGTGAGCAGTTTATAACCTTTCATTAGTTTTAAATCAAAATTTTAATTTTGTCACAAATTCACGGACATAGACTTTCTGTGCATCAAAATTATGTCTAAAGTTGCAAATTACTTGATTATGTTTTTGAACATGCTTTTTTAATTAATATGGATGACTTAAATGAGATTGCACTCCATATTGCAGAGTTTATAAAAGGTCAGATTTCATATGCTATAGTCTAATATTTTTAATTTGTGTGAAGTAATATTTGTTTTCAGTTCATACATTGGAATCATAATTTCAGTACATGATCTGTGATTTTATTTTCGTGATACGAGAAGTGTGTTTAGAATTCCTGACTAAAATAAATTTGAAAATCAATTATAATTTTCATTGTATAATATTTGTGAAAGGGTATATAATGATGTTTAAATTAAAATTATAATTTTGTCACAAATTCACGGACATAGACTTTCTGTGCATCAAAATTACGTCTAAAGTTGCAAATTATTTGATTTTGTTTTTGAACATGCTTTTTTAATTAATATGGATGATTTAAATGAGATTGCACTGCATATTGCAGAGTTTATAATAGGGCAGATTTCATATGCTATAGTTTAATATTTTTAATTTGTGTGAAGTAATATTTGTTTTCAGTTCATATATTGGAATCATAATTTCAGTACATGATCTGTGATTTTATTTTCGTGATTCGAGAAGTGTGTTTTGAATTCCTGACTAAAATAATTTTGCAAATCAATTGTAATTTTCACTATGTAATATTTGTGAAAGGATATATAATGATGTTTAATTAGAAGAAATACAGCATTATTACCATTTATTATTTTGTACATGGTGCGACTTATCAATAACTTAATAATTTTAAAACCAATTTTTTTTAAAAATGATCGTTAAAATAACAATATATATAAATGCTGTGTTCTTTAGAAAAATTATGATGTTTATGCACATTTTGACTCCTTCCCTTGTAATGGAAAAAATGTCCTACCTTTTAATATAAAATTATTACCACCCATAAACACAGCTGTGTTGAAGTTGCATGAAAGTCTCGATATGCGTATATTGTACAAGGTGTTCAAGATGCTCTTTATTTCTATCTTGACTGTCAGCCTCCTGTTATTTGCATAGCATGTTCTCACTGATTGCAGCAATTTTAATTTCAGTGTTTATTTTCAGTTTTCTATAGTGCATGACTAATGAATGTACTTCCTACCTACATTACTATTTAACTGTGTCCATCCAGCACATGACGCCCCAAATGTATTAATTCGACGCGGACTTTAGGTCTTCCTGTTCAGCCGCTACACAGGATCATCCTGTGTAGGTGCTCCCTAGACGTATTTCATTGATGAATAAATGCTTTTAAGAAGTTTTGGCTTTCATAGACTTCATCACAGGAACTGTCAAACTCAAAATTGCACTTCACCATTAACATTGCTTGTAGTGTTTCCAGTTTTAACTGTGCCTATTCAGTTGTCCATGTGATATTCATAGATGAGAAAACTGTTTCACTGGCAGGGTTTGTCCATAGAAGACACAACAAAAACGCTACAGTTTTCTATATTTGTGCACATGGCACGTTTCTAACTTTGAAATTTCGAAAAATTTCAGCTCATCGACAGTCGAGACTAGTTTTCTGACAATTCCAGTCTGCAATCTTTTGTGGTGAAGTAAATTGCCTAATGTAGCTTACTTCATGAAATAACTCGTTATTATCGATGTCAACCTTCGGAATCTTTCACCCAGAAAGTTGCACGCTCTCGTGTACTTTTCCCCACGACGGTGGTTCCTTTAACGCAACCCAACTAAATGAATTCAGATCTTTGAATTGCTCAACCCTCTCTTTCAGATATCCAGCTCAGTTGTCGTAAAAATTTACAATGGTTCTTTATAATGTCATTTTTTCTCGCCAATCCTTCCTCTTCTAATTGGGTAATCAGCATACATACTTCATTTGGCAAAAAGTTTTGCATTTCTCTCGGTGCACTAATGTATTAAATAATCCAGTCCAGAAGCTACTTCCAATGCTGTTACAGTCTGTGCTTCTATGTGCAGAATTTCCGCTTGAAACACCGCAACGATATTATGTACGAAATAGAGTCGCAATTCAGCACAGGGATTCTCAAAAAGTTGCGGATTAGGGTAGGGCACTTCCCTTCTGACAAGAAATAGGATTTCAGTGCAGGAAACGATTTTAAAACTCTCTCTACTGCAGGTATCAGTGATAACCACCTAGTTTTCTCATATCGTAAAATGCGCTGGTATTTTATACAGGCAAAGTTGCAAAATTCTTTGAATGACTCAACACGAACAGTGTAGATATAGAACTAATAATAAGTTTTCATAATAACTACTTCCAAATAAATTTGTAAGCAATCTCCTGCTGTTTGGATTGCGTTGTGGACGATATGAGCAGCACAACCAATACCTAGCAGTTTTCCGAGAATGTCACTCACATAAGAAAAAATAAATAACCACCGAAACATGACAATCGTGCGCACAAACCACCTAGCCAAAGAACATCTATGTAATAAGAAGGAAAGGTTCAATAGAACATAATGTAAACCAGTTTGCTATTACGCCGCTGGAAAGCGGAGGGAAAATTCGCCAAGGGATTTGGCGTTTGAACCTGGTGGCGAGAATTCCCTCCTCCATGATGTGTACAGGAAATTGAGGAACATGGTGTTAAGAAGAAATGTTCTGCAAAACGATTTTTTTGACTTTTTGTGATAATTTAAACTCGGATTTTTGCACTTTTTTTTTTTGCTCAAAATAACTAATCTATTAATTAATTTACTTGCATGAAAAAGCATTTTCTTTTCCTTTAAAGTTTAAAAAAATTTAAAACGATATTTGTTTTCTGAACTCTTTGTAAACGTGACCTTCGAACTTCGACGCCGTCTTGGAGCTTTGGCAACAGATATTTTGCGCACGCTGTTTCTTTGCCTTAGCCACCAACGCTGTCACCGCCCGTGTTTCTGAGTGATGACATCATAGATAAATGACTTTTGTAGAAAAGAGGGACAAACAGGCGTCCCGCCGAGACAGGCAAGGGACCTCGGGACATGAAGTCTGAAATCCGCACAGTCCCACCTAAATCGGGATGTCTGGTCACCTTAATTTATATATAGCTTTGTTCTATTCTTTGTATTTTGACACAAAATCAGAGTTTTTCTGTTAGAGAGCAGACCAAAAATGTGTTTAACACTGCCCAACAGGAGATAACTTGTATTAGTGCCTTTATTTAGGACGCCCAATATGAGTTACATCTTAGTTTCTTGACTTCCCACTTTTGCACCGTTATGAGTTACTTGCTCGTTTATCGCTTGTTTTACCTGTACTGAGGTGACAAGTTGAAGCATGTCTGTACGAATCAACTTGTAGGTGGCTTCTGCGAAGAGCTTTGTCTAACAAAAGCTGACTATGAGATAATTGTAGGACCCTTTTTTCTATAAAAAAAAAAAAAAAAATCGTTGCTTCTTTGATAGACAGTTGCACAGATTTTTGGCGATTTAAGTTGACGCAGGTTTTACAATAGTCAGCCATCTTGAAAAATGTTATTTTTACGTCGTTTTCCTCCCCCCGCAGAGCAGCGTGAAATTGATAAACATATTTCGGAATGATTAGAGAAACAAAGAATATGCCTTTATCCATTTTTTTGCAGCAGTTTTACTTTTTGTTTGATGGACATCGAAACATACTTGTAGATCCTTTGGGAGCACCAGCATCGGAAATTCTATTTGACATAATCGAAAGTTCAAGCTTACTTTTATAAAATTGCTCTAACAGTCTGCAAAAAATAATAAGCCGGATCCAATTCGAAGATTAAGGAACAACGCGATCTGCAACATTAACTGAAATAGATAATTAGATAATTTTAGCTTATACCATCTGTTATACATTAAACGCGCATGCGTAAACGTATTATGCGCATGTGCAGAAAGTTTGTAGCTTTGAGGTCCGCATTATAGATCGTTCCAGATTATGGGTGTCCGAATTAACGACTTTTGACTGTATTAATTTTTTAATAAAAATTGAAGTATACAATTATAAAGTAAAAGAAAAATATATACTTACAATTTTTTGAGTATTTAACCTGTCGTATATTGATAAGTACCACACAAAAAAAAAAAACGGAATCATAATTTAGATATAAATAAAAAAAATTCGAAAAATGTAATATAATTTTAAAAATGTAATCTAAGGAAAAAAATTTTTAAAATGTAATCTAAGGAATTTGAAGAGATGAATAATAAAATTTTAAAATGGCGTGGTAATGCACAAATATTCTGTAACCAATCATGGAGCTGAGCTGATTACATCACGAATAGAATTAAAATTATTTAAATAATCATACATAATAAAATCATTTTTTAAAAAATGCAAAATTAAATTGTATTTGAATATTTAACAGCCATAAGTAATGTTTAAAACAGTAGGTTAAATTTATAGATATTAAAACCAATTAGATTTAAAATAAAGTGACGTCATTTATTACATCATCCACAACATAAAATATCATAAACAATAAAATTTTTATTTCAAATAAAAATGCAAAATTAAATTGATTTTTAATATTTAGAAGCCATAAATAATATTTAAAACATGGAATTTATACATAATAAAATGCGTTATTTTTTAAATAAAATGACACAGCAAAATATCGGTTACCATAAATAACTTGTCTAGCAATGGGTTTACCATAAGTCATATCGCTCGCCAAAAAAAATCGCCAAAATCCATGCAACCATCTACCAAAGTAGCACCAAAAAATCCTGTAAACTTTTTAATGATTGTTACGAATCATAATTAGTATTTTTAATAACATAATATGATTAAATAGGTTTGGCTTCTCGGACCGGAATCCGAAAAGTGCCGTGGCAGTCAACATGTTAATATCTGTGTCTAGTTAAAAGATATGTATGTATTCTACTAAGTATAAGTCCTTCATACTATTACTGGATAAATCACTATGTTTAACAAATGTATGTCTAGAGATGATGGTGGAATTCATATACTGTAACAATTGGTTTCTTTCACTAATTTATAGACAAACTTAAATAAGGAAGAATATTTATTTCTGAATTTATATTTTTTATAATTCTAATAATTTCATGTGATAATATGGAGGTGAATTTAAATAAATCATACTGCCTGACTTTCTCATTTATGCACCAATCTTTGGATCTTCAGCTGATGTATAAGGGTACCCAGATCCCCTTGTGCGATAAATTTATTTGGGTGTGATGTTTGACTTCAAACTAACATGGAAGCTACATGTAGAGGACTTGTCCAACCATGCTACGAAGAGACTTGGTGTCCTTAAATGCCCTGCTGGTGCAAGGTGGGGTTGCACTGGACAAACCTGCTCCAAACTTATCATTTGTTTATCCTCCCCCCCCATCTGACTTACTGCTGTGAACCACTTGTTGTGGCCGGGGAAAAGGTACTCTAAAAAGAATCCAAAATCAGTGCTTACCTATTGTTTCTGGAGCCGTAAAGACCACCCCGAGTGACACACTGTGCTTATGTTAACTAGTGATAAACCCTTAAGGGAACTACTCTGATATACGCCCTCAAGTCGCCAAATTTCTCGCCAAACATTTTTGGCGAGAAAGTTCATGTGGCCATATTACGATCTAAATTTTTTGTCTACATTTCGAACTTTAAGCCTAAAATGTCTCCAAAAACGCGGTTTTCGCACATGCAAAAACTACGTTTTGAACACATGATTTAAGCTAAAAATCCGAAACAAAAACAAAATATTTAGATAGCAAAAACGTAAAGTTTCTAACCAAAAATATTTGACAAGAATCCATGTACACAGCGACATATTTTAACTTAAAAAAAACATCTACGAATGGCACACTGTAGGTAACGAACAAATACGAACTACGCACACCTCGCTTTAATAAATTAACATAACAATAAATTTCAAAGAATACCATGTACACAGCGTTCTGTTTCAACTTTAAAATACATCTACGAATTGCACAATCTACTCTAAAAACAAATCAAGAAAATAAACTAAAATAAATTTCAGACAATTCACAAAACAACAATAAAAATGGAAATTCATGAAAAAACAATGAATATAACATTCTACAAAATAAAAACAATAAAATAAAATGCACTTACCATAATGAAAGCTTCTTTTAAAAGCAGAAATATCTTCCCCCCTATCTTCTCAGATACAGAGCATACAAAGTCCAAAATACATTAATTAATAAAATTTCGCCAGTCACACAACGTCTGTGAAGAAAACTTCCACAATTTTGCTATATCACCCTTCCTACGATTCAAAATTTTGAAAGTAACAATAAAAACTTCCTCCAACGTTAACTTGCTACACGAAAACCAAGATCCAAACCTTAAACTCCGCTGACACCTACATACTTTATTAGCAACAATTTTACTGCAAATCCACACAAGTCTATCAGAAACACCATTTTTTGTCCGAGTTCTCATATCAGCTCCGCATTTCGGACACGTCACACTTCGTTTTAAAAGTCCCGACTCCCACAGAAATTCCAAAATACGCTACGATCCCCATAAATACATCCGTGAACAAAAGACTCGTTAACAACTCCAACATCGTACCTTCTCATACTAAATAACTCTGCACACAATCTAAAATACACGGCTGAAACCTTCCCACCACGTCTTTCATCGCAACATAGGCCATTTCACATGCGACACGAACCAACCTTGCCAACTAGCAATTAAACTACTCCACCAAAAGATTTTTCAACGTCGACATGGTTGCCATACAACACGCAATCGTGCCAAAAACCAGCGCAAAACATATCGCCACATTTGGTGAAATTAGAGCGTTTATCAGAGTTGTACCCCCTTAAGAATCATAATTCAAGGGAAGACCTTCATTCTCTAGGAGAAGATCATTAGAGTCCTGGATGTCTTTCACTCTGGAATGACGTCAATCAAGATCTGACTAGAAATCTAAAGACCCAGATGGGCTCTCAGCAAGGAGTTTTTCAGTTAAAAAATTCACTTGGTTTAATAAATTAACCAGAATTACTTGATTCACTACAAAATCCAATAAATTTGAAATCTTTCTGAATTAATCTTGACCTTGGTCAAAAAGTAACCAAAAGTAATACAGATTCCTCTATTTTGAGAGCCTTCGCACTTGAAGTATTAAACATTTTTTACCGTGAACGAGAGTGGCTTCAGATCTTTACTGATGGATCCCTCTTGTCTGATGGCCCTAATGCAGGTGCCAGAGTTTTCTTCGAAATTTTCTCTTTTTACATCCCTGTGGGCCAAGATACTGCGTTTGACAGTGAAATTGCGGCAATTCGCATAGCTCTGTACCAGCTGCCATGCCACTTGGAAAAATTTACAAGATCCTCAGTGATTTCTGAGCTGCTCTGTTGGCTATCGCTTCGGATAAAAATCCAATATCTCAGGACATATTGGATTGTCGATATTATCTAAAAAGCCTGGCATTACTTGAGAAAGTTATTGTCCTCCATTGGGTTCCTACCCACTGTGGGATTCCTGGTAACGAGAAAGCCGAGTTCCTGGCAAAAAAGGGTACTTTACTCATGCAGAATATTTCTCATCGTATGCCTTTCCATATTGTTAAGGATCTTATTAAAAGATCTTTCAAAGTATGTGCTCAGAAGATCTCTATTATCATGTTTCTCGTAAGTCTTGAAAGAATGCTATCCCGAATTTTTGTAATGGCCTAAGACGTAAAGTGGTTGCTGAATTCTGCCTTGGCAATGGACATGACTGCCTACGATATCATCTCCATAGATTCAAAATTGTTCCTTCTCTGATATGCACTCTGTGCAGCTCTGGAGAGGTGATGGACATCGCACATCTTTTCCACTGTCCTGCTCTGTGCGAGACCTCACCAAGCGCTACTGGGTGGCAAGAGATATGTTAGATTAATGGACTTTGTTGCCGCTTTTTATTATTATTATTATTATTGTGTTGCTGTATTCTGTGTTCTTAGTTCTTGTTTTTTATTGTAACTGTTTACAATCTACCATTCTGAATAAAAAAAAAAAAGTTTTACGTAGATGCACACTTTGTTCATTAAAAAATGTACAAAATAACAATAGTAACAAGAATAAGAGTAATTGTTGTGCCTATTAGAAATGTGTATTCTTTTCCAACTTCAGCTGTACGTATTTTCTTAAATTTTAGACTTCCGTAAAAGCTACTTTTTGTTGTGTATCCTCAAAGCTGACAGCTGTGTATCCTCAAAGCTCAAAGCTGACAGCATATCTCAGGCATAAACTTCTGTAACAAATTGCCTGATTAAATATTACAATTTAATTTTAGCTACTAATTTGCTGAACTAAAAATATTTTAAAATGCAGTTCTGTCTAGCCAGCTGAATTTCAGTGCTGTATAGAAATCTTTTGTCAATCCTTTTCATATGCAGATCACCATTATATGTAGCACAGAAAACTACTAATGTTCCATATTGAAAACTTATGTTTTTAAAGCCTTTAATGCTATCTGACATTTTGTTCACATAATGTAAAAATTGATTTTTGATTCAATGTAACACAGGGTAATAGTACAAGATATTGTGTCTGAAGATATGGAATACTAATTTTAAAATTGTATTTGTTACATATTTTATTTTGCCATTTTTTCTTATAATTCAGTTTGTTTCTTGGCAAGTTTATGTAAATTATTTCAAGATTCTTATTTTATATATTTTCATATTTAAATTACACACTGGTCTTTATTAAGTTTGATTCTTTCTTGTATGCAGTTATATGTACATTTCAAAAACTTCTAATTTATTTGCAGATCGTTTGTATTTCGTAACACTGCGTATGCCAATTAAACCACAGTCTTCATCAAGCATTCATTTTTTCTCCGTCGATTCAGAACTGCAATATGAAAGGTAAATGGGTTATATGGTACTATTCTGTTAGAGTGGCATCAGTTAAAAATGAGTCGCATTTTTTTTCCCGTCAATTCTTGCCAGGTATTAAATTATAAAATAATAATAGAGTTCAAATAAATAAAAAATAATAATAATAATTCTGTAGAGAGCATTTTTTTTTTATTTCTTAATTATTAAAGAAAGTAAATTTTTCTTTTTAATTTTGTAACTTAGAATATTCTACACATAAATAAAAAATATCAAAACAAAACAAAATACAATCTAAACAGGTGGCATAAAATTATGAATATCATTCAATATTGGAGAAAAATTTTGAGTTTATGCCATATGATTCTAAATGGTGGCGAGGAGGGCCCAGCTGACATTTATTTCTCCATTTAGCACTGCACCACAATCGTTCCACAGTTTGGGTATGGCATCCAGTTTCGGAGTCTACAAAATTATAACTGTGATTTACAGTGAAATGTTCATTCTCAGCATTTCATAGTTCTTGCTTATATCCTTTCCAGCAGTCTGAAAATATAATGCTGCCATCCACGATGTTTTCTTGAATAGCAGTCATCAGTGTTGTAGCACAAAGATCAGGAATGGCGACCAGAAAACGTTCTTTACTTTCTCAGCATAAAACCCTGAATACCCATTGTTCCAGGAGATCGTGTCCAATGTTGTTTTTCCTTCTCGTAAAAAGACTTTTGTCTGTTTCTATGATTTTATTGGCTCCACCGATTTAAATTCTTTTACAGGACATCAAACTATTTGTACGTCTCTCAAACAGTTATTCCAATGTACTGTCATATTAAGGCTGATTTCTTATTGAAGTTCGTAAAATTCACTCGACATCAATTCTTAACTCCACAGATGGATGAAATGAACGGCATTGAGAAAAGTAAGATGTGAGCCTTCAAATCAACTGTTTTGGTTCTCAATCCTTTTTTCACAGCAAGAACGCACGTAACAATACCATATAGGAGCTTTGTTTGAGTCAAAAGTTAACTTCATTGGATGATTTTCAGAACAAAGTCTGTTGCGATGAATTATTCCTTTATCCTGAAAGAATCTTATGGCCTCTTCATCATTAGGTAACTGCCAAATTGCATAATCCATCGTACTAAAAAAAAAAAATGGTGAGATATGTTAAAAAAATAACCAGTGACGATATTTCAAATGAAAACTAGAAATCTTGAGTCACAATATTTTAAATGTAAATAAAAAAAAAAATTCAAAATAACGAGCGTTGATATTTCAAACATTAAATTCTCAAACCAAGATATTTGGCGTGGTTGTTGGCGCATTTGTAATTGACGCCACTCTAACGGAATTGTAACAATTATATTTATATTTTCTTTGATACTGCTGTCATGGTTATCTGATATATATATCTTAACCAATGAAACTGAAATATTGTTGGTATTTATTGTTCATTTCAGCTCAAAATTTTTTTTTTTTTTTTTTTTTTTTTTTTTTTTTTTTTTTTTTTTTTTTTTTTTTTTTTTTTTTTTTTTTTTTTTTTTTTTTTTTTTTAAGATAGAACATTTTTTCACGGACATTTTGAAAGTCAGCTTCGGCAAATTCTGTGAATTATATTTGTGTATCATTGTTAATTAAATGCTTAACTTTGAAAGTGATGATATATTGATATTCTGAAATACATGTACTGATAAACATAATTTAGATCTCAGTGAAGGTTGCAGCATAACATTCAGACATTCAGTTGCACTAGCATTTGGAATTCAATATGAATATGCAAGTATAAAAGAAATTTTATTGAGCACAAAGGTATTATTATTGGCAGGTTTCAAATTCATTAACTCTAATTATGAAATTTATGCAGTCAAGAAAGAATAGAAACAATATGGAATAATACCATAGTAACTATCCTGTGTTTTTTTGTATTTAGTAGTATCAGGTTCAATGTTCCGTCTTACTTTCTTTGGGAACATGCACAGACCTGACTCAGAATAGGGAGCTTACTAAAGCTATATTCAATAACTGTGGGAAGTAGACAAGATACACAGGAAGGGTATACAAAACCCTTTATTTTTCACTCTTTACAATAATTTATGTACTTCGGAATACAGAGACCAACTACTTGTGGTCTGAACGTAAGAATATAAAAATATAACTAAACTCTAACTTAAATTTGGATGGAAGGCAAACAGCAACCGAGTAAAACTTCTAAGGCAAGCGGCCTGCTTCGACTAACTCCTTCCTCTGTCTCGCTTCGCAAAAAGCCACAACTTAAGTACTTGGCGTTCGCCAGACAAATTTTGCATAAATAAGTTAACGCTTTTAATTCTGGCCGGAAGTAGAAAATAAGAAGTGATAGTAAAGATTTAAAATAAAATAAACGTTAGTAAAACTTAAGATCCTTACATACTTCCCGCCAGAGTTAATTAGTTTGAAACTGAGGTCTAAAACGACCTTGTTGAAAACTTTTAGCTCTAGAATCTAACGCGAGGCCAATCTTTTACAAACATTTCTCACTAGAAACTAGAAATTTAAAAAAAAAAAAATTTTGTTTTTACAATAGCAGCTCCATGGAAACCCAATTTTTCATCTGTACTGCATCTAAACAGGAGCTTTTATTCAAATCTGGTTCCTTCCAGAGATCTGGAAGGAAAACTAGTTTAATGAAATGTTACACAATGAAATGGCAAGTAACATGCATATTTATATTTCTTTTAACATTCTTATTTCATTCATGACTATTTTAATTATCTCTCCCCGTGCTCTCTGACATGTGTTGTAAAAGAACACCAAACACGAATGTGTTTATGTATACGTGTTCAACACTGCCTCCTACAATCAAAACACTAACGTGTTAAAATTCAACATGCCAAGACCTCGTAACACACCCAATCTTCAACTCTAAACCCTGAGGTACTATTCTGGAAGTGGCTAACTCTGAAGTGTAGCGTCAGAGAGCCTAACTACATTCATTCAAGCTTTAACACATATTCACCATAATTTGGTCTTTTTACAGTCACACGAATAAAAAAAATTTTTTGGCATTACTTTCACTTTTACCATATCACAGTATTTCTTAACATTTAAAATAACAGTTCACATTGTATATAAGAACATATTAACATGCCGTTAATTTTAAGCATTTTAAAACATACATTAGTAGTACATTGTTATTTCTATTCTTTTCCCAGCAAGTGCCAATTCTTCTACATTGAAATACTACATTTCAAAAAGTCTTTCAGACTAAAACTTCTTTCTTGCCAGAATGTTTTAAATAAAAATTTATACAATAACTTTTACAATATTTAAGTATTTACACATTCCTATTATACATCAACTTTAGTTTTACGCGCGAGTAATTGAAAAACATAATACCAAAATCGGTAACAACTCATTTCTCGCCTTTTTGGCGATAAAGGTAGACCTCACATGAGGTAAAACTTCTTGAAATTTGCCACTTGCAGTAAGAATGAAAGATTAACTTAAGTTTGCAAAGTAACATAAAATTTTACTTATCTTTGTGATATTCGGACATTCTTTTCTGAGCCCAGTCCTGGAAGGTAGCGAAGATTCTTGTTTGATTTATCCTCCTTCTTGTGCGGGCTCGCCCCTCAGTTTCTTCCTCTAGAAGCTTTCTTTTTCCTCCAGTTCGGTCACCCTTGAATACCTTCTTTTTCGCCTCTGCCTGTGGTCTTGGCCGTTTGATGGCAGCTGGTCTTGGCGGAACCGGGACACTTCTTTCTCGTTCCTGCTTGGACCTTGTTGTTGGCCGTTCAAATTTTCCTTGTATCTTTTCCTCGGCCGCTAGTGGCCCTTCCGCAGTTCGGCGACATTTGCTACAGAGAGTCCTGTCCAATGAGTCGATCTTCCGTTTGGGAGCCGGGTTATAGTTGCCGTTATTTCTCCTGGCTTTCTTTGCATTCGTCGTACTTCTCCCTTCTTCATTCTGGGGGTGTTCGTGAGCTCTCTTTTCTGGACGGTGGAACGGCTTCTTTTTCTTGTTACCTTCAATTTTCCCATGGGGAAACTTTCTTTTCAATTGCTCCTGCCTCCTAATGGCTTGTCCTTGTGCTTAACGTTGTTCCACCTCTGGAGCTTGTGCCTGCCGTGTCTGCCGTGCCGGTTCCTGCAAAAGATCTTTGAAAATTTGCATTTTATTACGATCATAGTAGGGTTTTATTTGATCAATGTTTGCGGAGCATGTTTCACCATTTCTGGCTTTTAACACCACTACAGCGTGAGTTATTTTTTCTATGACATATGGTCCTTCAAATCGTGGAAAAAATTTGGCAGTTTTATCTTCTGGTGCTGAAGAAAGTGAATGCTTAATTTTTAACACTTCATCCCCTACTTTATAAGTTACTCCCCCCGTCGTTTCATATCATAATAAAGCTTCTGTTTTCTTTTTCTCTGTGCTACTTCAGTATTCTTTTTTGCTTCTTTAATTAATTTTTCTATATCACCCATTTTAAATTCTGGGGCTCTTTGTTGCACATAAAATAATTTATCTAACGGCGTTATAATCTTTCTGCCTAAAAATAACTCAGCAGGAGTTTTGCCCATTGTATCATGTTTTGCGGTCCTAAGGGCGAAAGCAAATTCATTGACATAGTTATCCCAGCTTTTATGAAAATTTTTAACATAACTACGGATAATTTTCACTATATTTCTATTGACCCGTTCCGCTATATTTGATTGCGGCCGATACGGGACCATTTTTAAATGACGTATGCCCAGTTTTTGGCACATGTCTTCAAATACATTACTTACAAATTGAGGACCATTATCCGATATAACTTTTAGGGGCGCCCCGTATTTTAAAATATATTTATTTAAAATAGAATCAGTAACTAATTTCGCGGAGGCTCGTTTTAAGGGAAAAATTTTGGTCCACTTACTAAAATGATCAACCATAACAAGGAGATAGCGACTTTTATTTAACTGACTTTTTGGGAAAGGGCCCAATAAATCAATGCCAATTATTTCATTTGGAAATTCAGATTTAATACTATTTAGAAACCCGGCCGGGC